TAACGATTTCCTAGTCTTAAACTAGCCCAACGAATAACTTGGCAGATCATTTTGCGATAAAAGTAAAGCGGGTTGTTATTTCTGTTACGTGTGAGAAATGAATTATTCGTCTGTTTATATATCGAAAAAATGCTACCGTATTTAATTCGTCGCGTCATCGAAACAAAAGTAGCCTGGAAACTTTGTTTTCATTTTATAAACTCTTAAATTATTCCATAACCATTGCCAACTAAATGTAAAAGATTAACAAACAAACCTGTCATTTTATTTTTGCGATACTAAATACGTAATAAAGGCAAAATGTTCCGCGCCATCTCGTGGGAAAAATTATAATCGACGTTAAGAGAATTTAATTTTTTTCTGATCGAATTGCACCTTTTCTTTTAAGTTACATATTCTAAGTTATCGCCTTAAGCTTACACTTGTAAAATCATAGGTTAAAAACAAGGATAAATAATAAAAATACAACAAACATTAGTATTAGCATTATTGAATATCAATAGTAATATCGTTATTACGTAGTTAACGGTATACGGCATTATTTACACGAACTACATAAAAAAAACCATCTTCGATAAAACCATATAAATATATTTCGCAACGTAATAAACGGCATTTTATAAAGATTTACAAAATGATTTTTTAATTTCGAGGCAACGAGTCGCGTAACTTTTCCCACAAAAAAGTTAAATTTACGTGTCGCGCACCCGTTACGTGACTTCTAAAAACTCTATGTTATTATTATTAAATGGCGAGAAGCCTAATTCCCAGGGTAGAGAAGCGTTTTATAAACAAAATTGTAAATGCTAACAACGAGAAAGTGTTCATTAAATCCGACCCTACTCGAGATACGACACAGGACCCCCGTCTTATCTTTTCACCCTTGACCTTTATTCACCAAAATTTAATCGCGCGGATCTTCGTAAAACACAGACCTTCCCGCGAAATTTCAGAAATTTTCGACAAAAGCGCCAGAGTCGTAAAGCTCGGAAGAGGATGAAGAAAATTGTGCCCTTTACGCGCACTTTGTACGCGTAGCGGCTTTTCTAAGGAGGAGGGAGAACCTCCGACCGAATATATTCGGTCGTCCTTGGTGACGCGATGGAGTCGCTTCTTCCGAAAATATTGCGCTTTTTGTAGGAAGTAATGAATTATTCTTTTTTACATTTTCAACAATTCCGTTATAACGGCATATTTTTAATGCCCTGTCTAATATTTTCCAGAATAAAAATGAAATCGACGTTCCATCGGGTAAGAACCAGAGTTCTATCTACGTTTCAAGAACAGTTTTCGGCAGGAAAATTTAGTTCTTTCCGTAAAAGACGATGAAACCTATTATTTTTCTGCCGTAAAATTGTATGTAAGTCGGATGGAACCCCTGGTTCTCGGCTGACGATTTATTCGTCTACCTACGCGTAAGAAAAATAGTTTCGTGTTCGTTACCGAGCAGAATATAATACGTACGGATCATATATTAGAAAATGATACTATTAAAATGTTACGATCTATTTAAAATTTCTGACAGTTTTGCGAGAAATACGAGATTGTAAAAGAATAATACTCTTATTGTTGGGTTTTGGTGGGATACAAAACGTAAGGCGTATTTGTTGCGCGGTACTCGTTATTCCTAATTTTTGAGACTATAAGTACCGTAGCGCGGTATAAAATAAAAATACTGCGGGAGGAGTACCAAAACATTGGGGAAATACGCCCGTCTTATATGGATCTACGCCCGTAAAGCAGATTTGTGTTTATCGGTACCACCGTTGTCACATATTTCTTAGTATTTTGTATTTTTGGCTTCACTAAATACGATATTAATAACCAGCAATTATTTATTTGACAAATTGCCACGGGCTGCAAATTTTCGTCACAATACGCTTAAGTTTAAAGGGTACGGCCCCGTACGTCATACTTTTCCCGTTAATAACCGAGCCGTTTATCTCTGTTAGAAAGAAAACACTTGAGTGGAAATAACGTGACTTTCGGCCGAAAACGGAAGTTCGTATACAGTTAATCGGGGCCTCCCGCCCCTAAGCTTTCCATATCTGGTCTATCCTTTCGTCTATCTAACTCCGTTTTCGAGATTAAAAAAGGACGGACAAACAGCCGCGCAGACGGAAGACAGTGGGAATTTGTAGATGTACAATTTATTGAAATTGTAGCCGATCTCGACATTTCAAACAACAAAGAGATTATTACTACTCGAATCGATGGGATTACAGACTTTCGTTCGTTATCATCGACCATTTTTCGATGAGAATTTTATTATAACGGTTGAGCGGCACTTTTTTTACTTGTAAATCTGAATTTTCGTATCAACACGAGTAATCGACGAATACCTTCAAAGTCGTATCACGTTTTCCGATACGTTCCTTCTCCATTTTTAATTTCCTACCGGAAGTGGCGCCAGACCTAACGACGAACTATTTTCTTGTTCGTTGGTCGGTTGTGGTAAACTCTCTTCTCGGTCCGGGCCGAGCGAAGTACTGTATTCTTCCGTTTCGGTTTGGGTTTACTCCGGCCAAGCCAGACCAACGGAACTACTTTTCTTTTTAATTGTTGAAACGAATATTAATTTTTCCACTGGTTTGTTACTCGATTCTAAATTACTTTACTAAAGCGCCTTAAAATGTAACTTTTTTTAATTTTAAATCTTTAAATTGTAAACTCGCTTAGCGGCGATAATATCACTAAACTGTCCTTTGACTGGGAAAATTATCTTATTTGGCAATAATAATATCATTTACCGCGCAAAATCGTACATTTACCAATGTATTTAATATTTATAGGAAAGGTCCTTTTATAAGTACAGTATTGGCTGGGGCCGTAAGAAGATAACGCTATGTCCGGGTTTAATTTTACATAAAAATATATCTATATTAAAGATATTTATTATTGACACGCAATCTTTATAAATCGACGACAAAACCTTCGTCCGAAAATACCGCGGATAAAGACTTTATCGTGGCGTTGAAAAGTCACCGAGGTGGAAATTGTTAACTTTTATTCCGCAAAATATCCTCGACCCGGACTCGGGATTTTACAATGCGAGAAGAGGAATCGTCTCTTAGAATCATCCCAAAGCCGATTAAGATAATCCCTTATCGAATACTAGGTTAATCCTCGTGACGTCACCCGATACGGTAACGTTGGATAACCTTCCCATCTCTGCCAATGACTATACCGGAAACGGAAAGAATTAATATTCTATTAACTTCGCTCTATTATTATATATATTTTTTCCGATATTTAATAATAGTACGAAGGTTTGATAAATATTTTAATAAAACGATAATTTTAATACTTAGCTTTAAAAGAAATACGCCCGGGGTGGCCGGAAAGTCTGTTAACCCAGCGTCGGGCCGTTGTCCATACGGCGACTTCTCCGCCTGACGTCGTATAAACGAACACCGGACGATTTTAGCGTATTAATTTTCGTAGAAACGATAAAGGTCGCCTTGGGCGGGCCAATTTAAATTTCCAGCAGAGATTTCCTCCCAGTAAACGAGGAAGATAAAACTTTACTTCTTTATTTACGGCGGCGCGCGGGCGGAAATGTAATACGGTATTACAATTTGAAATAAAATAAATGCGTGGGGTTGTCGTAATCGTTACGAAAATATAAGTTTATTTTTCGGCATTTCGTTATTCGCCAACGAATTGTTACCACGCAAAATCTTAAATTTCGAACGAGATTAAGAAACGAATAATAATTTATTTATTATAAATTGAGTAAATTTGTTAGTTTTGTGCGTAATGCTCGGTAATCGGGCCGAGTCACCGGGTGCGCTACGTGGCGGATTACCCGCCGATCCCGACTCCCGTATAAAAATCGACGCGAATACGAATAAAATGCGAATAATATTAACCTAGTGTTTCGGTTATCCCGCGTTAAAGAGGACGGATTTGTCCCGCATTTTCGGATTGGCCCAGTGGCCCGACCGTCGGAGACTCTGGGTTTATCTAGGTTAACTTTGCACTCCGGCAGTTAAGTTTTTACCATAAAAGAAAAATGTAACTGTGTAATGCGATTTATCTTAAATGTCCGTCTTGCGCGAAGCCGGAAATTCTCCCGGGCGTTATAAACGGCCGTTTTCCATATTACGGAATCCGTATTCCTTCGTTTATTATACGCGATTTAGCTCGATTTTTCCGATTATTGCGCCCATTTTGCCGGCCAAGCTCAGATTACCACGTTATATAAAGGGAGGAGTGAAAATGTGAAAAAACTCCCAAGTTTTTTCTCTTTGGCGAGAGAATCGTGAAAATCTTTAACGTCCCTAAATGCACTCGTCGAGTTTAAAACAAAAAAAAAGTCACGTCCGAAGGTAGGGCGAAGGAGGAAGGAGACGTCGTTTGCTGGGTTTGTTACGTGGATATGGCTAAACGGAAGAGAAAATAAATCCTAATACGGGTAAGCGGAGGGGATGACGTTGTTCTGGATTAAGAAGAAGCTTCTTCCGTCACGGAGGGGAGGAAGGGAGAAAATACGAGTTTCGGCCGACGGTGGCCGACTGCAAACGGGGAGCCAGTCCATTTATCACCCTTTCCATCTGGCATCGTTTCCTCACTGGCGCAAAACTCGTTTCGCCTTGGCAATTATCGTCCTCCAAACGGTAAAAAAATAAAAGATTTCGTTCGATGCGCTTCCAGTTCAAGTTCGAGATGAATGCGGGTCGCCAATCTGGCATTTTTTGCTCTACATTTTCCAGTCAGGAAATCAGCGGGCGAGACCAAGAGTTTTATGTTTGCTTCGTCTTCTTTTTTAACTTACATACCGAAATTATTAAATCGAAATATTATATACTGAATAAATTAAGTTTACTTTTCTAATTTATGCTCTTTGAAATATAAATTTTTGTGCTTTTTTTTAATTTAAATTTCGAGTTTTTAATTATAAAATTGGGTTGGGAAGTAGAAAAGTCTGTACTTTAAACGCTCGAAAAGCGCTTTTACGCGCGGCCAGAGTTATAAAAACGTCGAGAGACTGATGCAAATCGCGAAATTTTATTAAAGTCGAGCGAGTATATTGGATACAATAAAGAAGACTGTACATAAAAGACCGACAGTTTTGGCCTCGAAACGGAGTTGACTATTTACAAAAAGACGGGCGGACATCGATTCCGGTTCTCTCATCCTTTGTTGGGGAATCCTTTGCCTCCTCCGTACTTGTATCCGTCGTACCACCCCTTCATCCATCCGTCCCACCAACCTCCGTGCGCGCCGGAAGTGGGTCCGGAATGCGTGGATCTACCCGATTCCTGGGGGTTGAGCTCGGCCGTCGAGTGCCGACCCGAGTGCGATTCTTCGCCGGAAGCGGCGGCGGACGAGTAGGGAGTCCGGATCTGTCCGGGTTGAGCGTAGGCCACTTGAGAATTGCCCTCTTGTTCGTAATTACTTCCGCTTCGTTCTCCCCCCTCGGAGTAGGTAAGTCGAGACGGAGAGTAGGAGTTACTGTATCCGCTGCTTCCTTCGCTCTGTGAATAGGGCGAGACCGCCGCTCCCTGGGTGTTTTCGGCGGCGTAACCCCCTCCCTTTCCGGCCTGTCGAGAATAAGAAGCGGGCCCGGGCACCACGGCGTATTTGCTCAGGTGAGAGTAGTCGGAGTTGGAGGACAGAGCGGAAGCGGGAAATTTACTTCCGGGTTGTTGATATTCGGAAGAGGAAGCGGAAGAGCCTTCGTACTTGGAGGGCGGAGAGTACTCGGAAGAGGAACTTCCGGAAGATCCGTACTTGGTGTCGGGTTGTCCGTAATCGGAGACGGCCGCGGTTCCGGCCGAGTATTTACCGGAAGGAGGAGAATACTCCGTCCCGGGGGAGGCGTATCCGGCCACCTGTCCGAAGGGAGAGACGGCGGCGGAGGCGTACTTGCCGTTCTGCGCGTAGTCGTTGCCGGAGGTGGCCGAAGATCCGGGTTCTCCCCAGACGAACCTGACGTGGGCCGAGTTCCCGCCTTGGCCGTAACGAGAAGAGTAACCGGAAGTGCCTTCTCCGGGCACGTAGGCGTAGTTCTGTCCCGAGCTTCCGGCGGAGTATCCGGCGTGCAAGTTGGTCTGCCAGTTCTGCGCCGATTCGGGCATGGTGAAGATCTCCCTGGTCTGTTGGCCCACCGCATACACCCGGGTGGCTCGGACGCACGTGGCCACGAAGAGGGCGAGAGTCCAGGTCAGCAGTAGTAGTTTAGCCTGAAACGGGAAAGACGTGAGTACGGAGTAACGTTAGAACGGGTGGCGAGTGCTTAAGTCAAGGTGCGTTAATCCGGAGGACGTCGTAAACAACGTTGTATCCGACTTACCATTGTGGGTACGCGAGGTAACGTCGGCGTCGGACGAGAGTGATGTAATGGGTCGAGACTGCGGAGCCGTCTTTTATATACGACGGATTCGTGACGAATGTCAACAAACTTGGCAGCTGGGGATTTTTTACCCGCCACGACTGGCGGCTCTCGTTTCACCTATTTTCCCGCACACTCCGAGCGCGGGAGTTGTTTCACCCGGCATTGGCCTACTTTAGTCGGGCGGGACGAATAAACCCTCTTCCTGTTGGCTTCTTTGTTTTTTTTTTTTTTTTTCTGGCGTAGAGGAACGACGCACCGTGCGATATCCGAGGCGACTTTCCTTCATTTATTATGATTCTGTCACTTCGTCCTCCTTTTCTTCCCTCTTCCTTAATTATTTTACCATTTTTCCAGCATCCTTTCCTCTCGATATTCCGTAAACAAAACGCCAAATATAATAACGTCGTTCCCGAGAATTTAATATTAACCCATTTATTCTTCCGCGGTCCTAAAATTTCTCTCTCGTTCTAGAAATTTTATTATTTTTTTGCCCCCTTTTTGGTCGGGACGTGCCTACCCGTGTCCTACGTAAAAACCTCAAATTTTACCAAAAGACCGTAATAAAATTTGCCAGTTTTCCCCGCAAGACGTCGCCGGTTGTCTCGGACGTTCCTTTCCCCCCTCTTCGACGTTATCCCTTTGTTCTGGCTTCTCTCGACGTTCGTTAACGTTGGAAAACGTCACTCTTTGTTATTTACCGATGTGACGGATATTTTCCTCGATGTAGGCCATCTCCTCATCTCGTCCTATTTCCGTTTGCGTAGCGAATCATTTATTGAAATGGGTATTTGCGTCGTTAACCGCGAAAAGATCTCCCTGGTCTGTTGGCCCACCGCATACACCCGGGTGGCTCGGACGCACGTGGCCACGAAGAGGGCGAGAGTCCAGGTCAGCAGTAGTAGTTTAGCCTGAAACGGGAAAGACGTGAGTACGGAGTAACGTTAGAACGGGTGGCGAGTGCTTAAGTCAAGGTGCGTTAATCCGGAGGACGTCGTAAACAACGTTGTATCCGACTTACCATTGTGGGTACGCGAGGTAACGTCGGCGTCGGACGAGAGTGATGTAATGGGTCGAGACTGCGGAGCCGTCTTTTATATACGACGGATTCGTGACGAATGTCAACAAACTTGGCAGCTGGGGTTTTTTTCCCCGCCACGACTGGCGGCTCTCGTTTCACCTATTTTCCCGCACACTCCGAGCGCGGGAGTTGTTTCACCCGGCATTGGCCTACTTTAGTCGGGCGGGACGAATAAACCCTCTTCCTGTTGGCTTCTTTGTTTTTTTTTTTTTTTTTCTGGCGTAGAGGAACGACGCACCGTGCGATATCCGAGGCGACTTTCCTTCATTTATTATGATTCTGTCACTTCGTCCTCCTTTTCTTCCCTCTTCCTTAATTATTTTACCATTTTTCCAGCATCCTTTCCTCTCGATATTCCGTAAACAAAACGCCAAATATAATAACGTCGTTCCCGAGAATTTAATATTAACCCATTTATTCTTCCGCGGTCCTAAAATTTCTCTCTCGTTCTAGAAATTTTATTATTTTTTTGCCCCCTTTTTGGTCGGGACGTGCCTACCCGTGTCCTACGTAAAAACCTCAAATTTTACCAAAAGACCGTAATAAAATTTGCCAGTTTTCCCCGCAAGACGTCGCCGGTTGTCTCGGACGTTCCTTTCCCCCCTCTTCGACGTTATCCCTTTGTTCTGGCTTCTCTCGACGTTCGTTAACGTTGGAAAACGTCACTCTTTGTTATTTAGCGATGTGACGGATATTTTCCTCGATGTAGGCCATCTCCTCATCTCGTCCTATTTCCGTTTGCGTAGCGAATCATTTATTGAAATGGGTATTTGCGTCGTTAACCGCGATAAGACACCAGATTTTTCGTTTATCCTACGAATTTTATACCAAACAAACAGACAATTTCCTGGCGAGTAAACGACGTAAACATCCCCTTTCGCTCCGTAAATACTGTATAGTTTTTATGGAAGGATGCGGAAGATCCGGATGCGAATTTAAAGTTAACGCTCCCACGAATTAAAAAAATTAATTTATGCATTAAAATTTTTACTAAATTTTGCCACCTCTTTTTCGATTTTATTATCTCCAGCGATGTTTTTTGCCCCCGTTCGAATACCAGAAATTTTATCGTCTATCGTAACGTTTGGGATTTGAACGACCCTTTCTGTGCGTGTCTTTTTCTTACGTCGCAAAAGTAATTCCGAGAATTAATTTACAATTTAAATGAAATTTGATCCGTTCGCGATTTCTTCATTAAAGTCAACCGATGCGAGTTCGTATCGACCAGGATTTGCATTATTTCGTATAGATACATAAAACGTGCGAGTAGCGAATCCCGTTACGTATTACGCGAAAAGAAGAAAAAATCTCTTATCTCGCGGGGAATAGAGTAATTGTTTTGATTTTCCGAAAAACATTTGTAAATTTCCTGCTCTTAATTGTTACGTCGCCGCGTAAAAAAGCCAATCGAGACGAAAGAAAGAGATGAAAAACTTAAACGGGATCTTCTTTTCTCGTCTTTACCGGCGGATGATTTTTTTCTCGGCTTTAATGTAATTTAAAAGTAGAATTTTACAAATGTACCGGGGAAGAATCGCGCGTTTAAGATCGAACTGGGCGAAACGGACGGGTTAATGCGCGCGGCCTATAAATTTTACGAGGAATTTAACAAAAGAAACGAAGAAAATTGCGAGTGAAGAGCTGAAAACAATGAGAAATTGGAAATTTGGATTTATTTTTGCACTCGACAAGAAGAAAAAAATAAAAAAGAAGAGACGAAGGAAACATTTCTAGATCATCAAACAATAAATGCATTTTATTAGCAATTTTATGACCTAAATCGGCTTTAAGACGTCGGAGAAAAATATAATCGAATAGGAAAAGTTTCCATTCGTTTTTCTCCTGGCACAATCGTTGGAAATCGTGCAGAAAAGACTGGTTATTTAAAAACACAACGAACCTTCCACCTTAAAAATTCGACTGGATCGACCGCGAAACACGGACTCGTAATTATAATACAGGGACGAGACAATGTAAGAAAGTCGACGTGACGGAATTGAACCCGTTTCGCTAAACTCGCGCTATTCGTTTCGTTTTTCCTTCCAGTAGAAAAAAGGAAACGAAATGGAAAGAGCGCAGAAAAAACAAAGGCGTGCGGAAATTTCTGATCTACGACGTATAAAAGAGAATCTATTAATAATGTCGCGGACGTTATCGAACTCGAACCGAAAATCGCCACTCTGTATTTAAAACGGAGATAAAATTAATTGCTAGAAAGCCGTCGACGGACGACGTTGAATATTCACCAAGGGCGATCGCTGACAATTTGCCAACTACTCTTGGTTTTTTGTATGGGGATAACGACTCCCGGTTAAACACCGTCGATGGTATCCGTCGTACCAAGTGAAATTAACGACTAACCTATATTTTGTTAGTTTATAGACGAAAAAAAACTTGTATAAAACGATACTTCTGGTATTATAACGTATTAAGAATAAGCGCCTTATCGCCGGGTTGCGACGAAGAGATTGATAAAGGTCAATTTAAAGCAGCCACGTAAAATTAATCACCCAGCTAAATGGCCACTTTGATAAAATAGTATTAAATGACCTAATTTTAAAAACTTTTAAATGTTTTTATAAAGATTATCGTAGTTTTATTCGCCCGCTTTTCCTCCTTTATGACCTGATTCAATAAAATTTCCAAAATTTTCAACTCGACGTTTCCCGTTCGTAACGTGGCCAAGAGATGGAGAAGATAGAAAAATCTCTTTAATACTTTATATAAACGCAATTATCCTTTTTCAATATTTCGCTATTCGAATCGTCCCGTTTTAATGGCGGAATTTCCATTTTTAGCTCCATTAATTCGAATTAAGTATAAATTTATGTTTTGTCGGATACAAAATACCCGAATTTCTCGGTATTCGCACGCGTGTCGCTTAATTTTACAGCACGGATACATTTTAACAAACGTAGATGTTATCGGAAGAGCGAGGGGTAGAGTTTCGCGAAAGGTGTCTCGGTCTCGCTTCGTTTCTTCGTCGCCAATGTCGAACGAAAGTTTCCTCAAAAAATAATAAAAAACCCCAATGGATGCATGCATCGCTTATCTGTTACATGATTAAATTAATCGCGCTTCCTCCCCACTATTTTCCCCGTCAAAGGGCGAAATTATTATTCTCCTTTCTTTTCTAATGCGAGTTCTATATTTTTTCATAAAAACCGAAAAAAACAATAACAATAAATATTGCAATTTTACCGAATATTTCGTCGAGAAACTAAAATTTAAATTTTAAAAAAATTGCCAATCGAACCGGCTTTAGGCTGGCATTTTAAAGCTTGAATTCTTTTCCACCTTTAATTTTCTTCCATATTTACCAGCAGAAATCGTTTAATTTTAATTACTTTCGTTGTAGGGACGACACTAATTTAATCGCCGCGCCAAGGGATGGCGATTTTTTTGTCGCTCCGTCGATATCGGATGATCGAAGCGACGTGTTAAATAACTTTAAATAGGTTAAAAGTTCGTAACGAACGGAATTAAGAGAAAAAATAAGCCCATCGATTGTTATTTGGATGGAAGGAACCCCGAAGTCAGACAATAAAACGTTTGTCGCTTCGACACCCGTCCGGGGGTCGACGGTTGTTTGGCGCAAAAAACCCGGTGGGGCAAAATAATTGGAAACAAAATATGCTAATCTGGCGCGTTGACGGAATCTATAATTAGAACCAGTTTAATTTGTCAAAACTAAAGATAAAAACTGAAGGGGGAATAAATCCCGTCGTATTTGGAACGGGCGAAACTGGGAAGAAACGGAATAGGAGAAAAGGGAGGAGAAATAAATGTAAAAGTGGGATTTTCGATGGGACGGAAAATATAAGAGACGAAACGGGATGTAAATCGGAATGTCCTCTTTTTAGCCCGAATGATTCGACGCGCATTAGCCTGGTTATCCAATGCCAAAATAATGGCTCGTCATT